GTCAAGCAGTAACTAAAAGCCACCTCCCTAATCTTTGCTTGAACTTCTTGGGTCCTTTGTGGCTGGATCAGGAGGCCAACAGACAGACAGACTGAAACGGGTAAGACTTGTGTTACTCTGCATAGTAAACATCCCATTTGCTGTCAGGAGGTATCCTGAGGGCCTTGGGAGCATTAGAGCCGTCACCACTTCTTGGAGCAGGGGAGAACCTAAAAGGAGAACTGCCATGCAGAGAAATGCCTCTGCAGCAACGTGATTCTTGGAGGCATAAAAATGTTTATGCCAGGATATTGCGTGATGTTCGTAATAGCAGAGGAATTGACCTGATGGATGGAGATATCCCTTTCCAGATTGCCAAAAGAGAACAAAAAGAGACACTAAAATAGCATGGTCTGATTTAGATGCACATGGATTCTTTCTGAACACATTTTAAAATTTAGTTTAGCTCGTTGTTTTGTAGAGCTAGTTTTATGGAACATATGTGAACCTTTGGTAGACTGATCTTTCCATAAACGGTGAGATTTTATCAATCTGAATCATTGATAACCTTCTGTGCCACAGCCTTAGTTTGTGATCACTGGTGCTTTTCAGAAGAAGTAAACCATTTGTGTTGTATAAAATCTCACTGATTAGGGGAAAGCTTAGCAGAAGAAAGAGTCTCATTAGGCTAAAATGAGGTAGCACTTGATATGAGAATTCCTCAAGTATGGAGAGGTTTTACAATAAGAAAAGTACCTAGGACCTGACTGGCAAATTAGGTTTATTCATACAAGTAAGATGTTCTGTGCTTTAGAGAACCTGACCTAGTACATCTTGCTGTTTGCTTTATCACAATTTATTAGTTCAATGTACTACAGAATATTTATTAATTATGTTTAATGGTATAGGTAAGTAACTTTTCTCAAAAAGAAATGCTCATAAAAGTTTTTCTTCTTAGGATGTAAACATTTTTCAAGGAACAGTCAGGACTTTTTAAACTTTTAAATGTACTAGCCTTATAAATGGAGACGCTTAATTTAAAAAGGGATTACTTCTACTACAGTGTGTATTGGCACATGACCATTTGAATGTGAAGACCTCAGAAATCAGAAAGTGGTTTTAAAATACCACGTAACCTTAGTTCCACTGGATCTTTGCACACCCTTACCTAGTTTAGCAACAAGGAGCCCTGGTACTAGGTGGAGGTCTCTATCACTTACTAAAAATGAAATTTCACTTCCCTTCTATATGCAAATAGTCAAGTGCAAAAAGATGTCTCTATTTACTGGAATCTTCTGTTCAGTGAGTGTGCAGACAGGGAGTGCTTCTGGCAGGTCATTCGCTCTAGCGACTCAGGCTTTAGAGTTGTTGGCCTCTTGTGATGAGCTGTTCACCAGGTTCTGTGTGAGCTTAGGGTGCATCCTCACCATCACGGCTCCTGCAAGCCACCGGCGTGGCAACTGTAGCAGACACCTGGCTGCCCCCCCCCGAACAGGGGAAGATCTTGTGCTGCTCCAGCAGCTGCTGCTGTGGCCTCACCTGGAACACTGTGTACAAATGTGGGCCACCCTATTCATGAGGGTGGAGAAGGTCAAGCAGAGGGTGGATCTGGTCAAGACCTGGAGGGACCGAATAGTATAAAGAGTGGAGCAAGAAGCTAAGGGAAGAGCTAATAGCAACCTACAAGTACTTGTGGGCTAGTTTGATGACGTAACTGAACTCTTCAGTTTGTTTTTCTGCTAGAAGAGAGATCTCGTACATACTCATTTATGAACCATATTCAGGTGACTCTCAAATTATTCCTGAGTAAACCAGGAAGTAAAAACTGTCTGTGTCTTTCATTAGAAAATGGATTTCCAGGCTGTATTTATCCTTATTTGTATTTTTGGAACACTTTTCTACTTTTGAACATCTGTTCTGAAGTACAGGCATCTCCTAGCCCACCAAAGCATGTGCACAGATAGCACCACCTACTAACTCCTCTTCAACATGTTCTGCTACAGCATCCAAAAATCACCTCGTCCTTGTAATTCAGAGCAACTGACTGACAGCTGAAGTGTAGCTGATTGTGTTAAAACTTAGTGTTGTCTTTCCTCCTGCAACAGGATCACAACCAATACGTTTCATTCGCTTTTCTGGTTGCAGCCTCCAAAATTTACAGCTCCTGACATTTTTTTATTGCTACATTGTGTTAAACATTGTTTAACACTGTTTGTCCTGTCTATGAAATTTATCCCAACGGTTTTGAATGAGTGAGCTTTCCTTATCATTAGGCTGCAATCTTAGACATTCTTTGCAAGTGTGCCACCAGTGATTTTTGTATCTTTTTCTTTGTCCTCATAAAATGCATTGAACAGACTTTGAGTGAACAACAGCATTTGAGTGAACTGCCAAGAAACACTGTACAGTTTGACCAAAACAATTCCCTTTCTCACGGATAAAGAAAAGCTGAAAAAAAGGGGTGGGCATTGCATCTGTAAAGAGACTTTCATTCTCAAATCCAGGTTTTACATATTTAAAACACCTACTCAACTACTAGAGAGCCTTGGCAGAAGTTCAGCTCCCCTCATGTTTACCTCTCATGTACATCCGATCGAGACAGGAGCTACGCTTTAGCAGGGCAAATCAGCTCTGCTCCCTACTCGTGTTTTTCAGCAACTGCTCCAGTAAATTGCTTCTAATGGTCTGAAACTTGCACAAAACGCAGCCACGAGGAGGTGGTGGGCACGTTCCACTTTCCCATAGCCTAGTGACTGGAAGTCTTGCCTAAAGTCTGGGAATCTGCCACTTGGAGCATTCACCTGTCAAAATTTACAGTGATGATTAAACCTAGCTCTCCCTCCTCTGCGGTAAGAGTTTTAGCTGTGTGCTTTCCCTCATGTCCATCTTGATGCTGCTTCTTTTTCTGCAAGATAAGACATCCCTGACCAAGAATGGCACAAAACCTGGCAAAGGGAGGGGTGTGGGTACTAGCCATCCACCAGCAGGCATTTCAGTGTGCCACATGGTTGGGATCGTGCTGAAGGGAGAGCTTGTGACACTTGCCACACAGAGTCTGATCACCTTGGAGATGAGACCCTCCACTTTGAGAATCAGCTTCTAATTCCCACTCCAAACTGGAGAAGGCATTGAAAATCCTTCATGTAGACTGGGATGTGCTGTAAATGCGTTGCCTGAAGCAGCCATGAGCTCAGTCCACGTAGGAGAGAGCTCCTTCTAGCTTGCGGGGAAGGATCTAACTCCCAGAACTGGCTGATGGAGCAGCACCTTGCGTCATTGCTCTGTCCTATGAGCTACTTTGGGCCTTTCCTAGCTCACCATGCTAAAATCCTAGACTCTTCTCCCTGAGAAGAAGAAATTTCACCTCCCTGAGGTGAAGA